TGAGAAGTTAAGAGGGAAAACATATTGTAAGTGACATAACAACATGCTACACTCCACAAACTCATGTGTGGTTTTTCGCAATATATTGCAGGATGCCGTTGAGAAGGGTCGCATCAAGCTCCCCGAGCCAAAGAAAGATGCCATGCTGGTGGATACCAACCCATTTCCGAACTTGCTTGGTGTCAACATGGTTAACCCAGACTTCTAAAAAATTGAGCTCCCCCATTTCAAGCTGGTGTTTGATACAACAACGCAACAAGGGACCCACACCATGGTGTTCGAGAAGGGAGAGTCATCGAAGGGTACGCAGGCCAACTCGGCCGCTTCTAAGGTGTCAAGTGAGGTGGAGAAGCTATATGCCCAATGCAAAAGGAGTTATAGACTTGATGAGGTGAGATCGGATCGACCAGTCCAACAAAGAATTGGTCCACCCATAGGCCGAGATACCCATCCTATCAAAGACAAGTAGAGGGGATCATTCAACCGACATGGGGGCAAAGAAAGCAATGGGTGGCACATGGCACTCTTCCCATGAAAAGGACTTCCAAGATGCCTAATGTGCCACAAGGAGGGGAGCATACTTATGATATTCATAGTCAACCAGTAGCTATTGGGGGGATGACAAGGACTCAAAGGAGGAAATTCCTACGTAAGAATGCTAAAGCACGAAAGGGGCAATACCCAGTAGTACCTAGTGAGATAGTGGGGCCATCAAAACAAAATGAGGATGATCATGCTAGTATTGAGTTGGGCAACTCTATGACCATGGGTTCCAAAGTAATAGTGTCTGACAAAGGCAAGCATGTCCAATTCCAAAGTGATGGTAAGGATCAGAAGGGAAAAAACGGTGTAGGGGGTGATTCAAAGTCAGCTTGTGAAAAATCATCTCCTTTGAACAACCATGGCCATATGGTGTATGGTTGACTTGTTTGGTTAAATACATGGACTTGGCAGTGGATGTATACCTTTGGCACATTGGTTATTGCCAAAGGGTATGGAGATCAATGATGCTTGTAACTACTTATTATATGCAATAAAAAAAAGGAAAAAAATAATTAATATAGAAAAGCCAATCATGGCTATATATATTTAAAATGTCGAAGTGGAAAGTTTGAGTAAGAGTTAGTAGGTTTCGATGTGAGGATATTGCCACGACTGGTAAGCCTCAATCATTACTCATACTGCTAGACCATTAAGGTGGCCTAATCATGCCAAATCTTATAATTTTGCTAAGGTGTGAACCACACCCTTCATGACAAGATATGGAGGTGATGGTGAATGGCATGGGGTATGGTTAGTAGTAGTTTGGATTAACTAGGGGAGCATGCTGTTGTTCAAGCCCAATAACTTCAAAAGATACCGCCCCGTGTGATTTAAGAGTGACGATAAGTGTCGGTGGTCACAGTGGCATGGGGGGCACGGTTGTGTTGAGATGGAAGGACAATAGAATAATTATGCTTGACTCCCTTCCTTCCTCCCACACGGCAGCAAAGGAGAAGAAATTGAGATTGTTTTGGTCATTTAAATTATAAGGCCAACTATTTGAGTTTGATGGTCTATTTGATGTTAACTACTTGGTCCATAATCTTTATGCACTAAGTAGTTGGGGGGCATTTGTTTACCCATAAAAATTAACCTTGTACCACAACGGTTAAAAACAAGGAATGAAATGGCTTTATAAGGCCAACTTAATCATATAAGTTTAAATCAGTTGAGTGGGCCATGACGACTGGGTTTTTTGGCCCATTACCCCGTGCCACCACGCGCGCCATGCATCTCCAAATTTGGCTAAGTATGGGAGTCACCCCCAGGACGTGGCAAGGGGGGTGGCCACCATCACACCACCCCCAGGACGTGCCTAGGGGGGTGGACATCATAGCGCCAACCCCAGGACATGGTGAGGGGGGTGATGGCCGAATTTGGCTAAGGCAAGGGGGTGGGCATCATACCACCACCCTCAGGAGGTACCAAGGGGGGTGGCTACCATCACACCACCCCCAGGATGTGCCTAGGGGGGGGTGGACATCATAGCACCACCCCCAGGACGTGGCAATGGGGTGGACATCATACCGCCACCCCCATGACATGGTGAGGGGGTGATGACCGAATTTGGCTAAGGCAAGGAGTATGGGAGTCACCCCTGCCAAGGGGGGTGGGCGTGGGCATCATACCACCACCCCCAGGACGTGGCAGGGGGGGGGGGGGGGAGTGGCCACCATCACACCACCCCTAGGACGTGGCAAGGGGGGTGGACATCATACCGCCACCCCCATGACATGGTGAGGGGGTACCACCACCCCCTGGACATACCGAGGGTACGAGAAGATGTAAAATGTGGGTATGTATGGAAGATGACGAGGGTGGAAAGGAGGACCCTATGAGGTGGTCTGGGGACTACCAACATACCACCCCCATGGGACGAGAAGATGTAAAATGTGGCTAAGTATGGAAGATGATGAGGGTTGCAAGGAGGACCCCCAAGAGGTGGTCTGGGGACTACCAGCATACCACCCCCATGGTATGATCAGGGGTGGGGGGATATGGTGGCGGCGGTGATCCATATGAACCCCATGAAGGATGCTCCAATAGTATAGTGAGGGGGTCGTCACCAATGTGAGCACGTGGTCTTTTTACTCTACTATTGGTGAAATACTTTTTGCCATGGTAACTCATGTTATTCAAATACCCACCCATATGTGGTAAATGGTATTCATTTATGCCTTAGCCATTTTTACTCTGTGGATAAGCAAAACTATGAAGGAGGGCGTCAATGAAGAACATCCAACATCAGGGTAACCGTCATAGTAGTTGAGAAGGTAACCGTCAATCCACGTTAGCAGAGCAGTTTCTTGGGGCAGTTACTTCTGGTGGCTATAAATAGGAGGTGAAGATGACAGAGAAAGGGTTCGCAAAAATCACAACTCGACACCACTTGTCACGTTTTATCTTTTTATCTTTTCCTCTGCAGATTTTAGCCATAGTCGTAGTTTTTGGAGCTCTCACTAAACCTCCATAGGAGTAGGGCTAATTTAATGTAGATTTGCCTCGTAGTTCATCAAAACATTGAACACCCTTGTTTGAACACCCTCTGCTTCCTCTCTCGAGAAATGTTGGGAGAGATCATCATAGCCGACTTGGTGAGGTTAAACCCTTTGACCTGAGCTGGTGCAGAAATCGTCTAGGAATTTTCAAATTATGTCGATCTGTCTTCCTTCCGCTTCTGCAAACAACACCAGATCATCAGCAAAAAAAGAAATGAGATAATTTGGGACCATTTTTCGATAGCTGACGAGGTTTCCACAAATTATATGAGCCTGCCTGCCGAATCCTGTTAGATAGACATTCCATGCAGAGAACAAAAATATAGGGGGAGAGAGGGTCCCCCTGACGGAGCCCTCTAGAAGGAATGATTTGGTCGGTAAACTCTCTGTTCCAGTTTATGCGCATTTTGTTCTTCTCCACACAAAACATGATACGGCTAATCCAGGTGCTAGGGAGACCAAGCTGCGCCAGAGTATCTCTATTGAAGTGCGATCTGAGCCTGTCATATGCTTTCTCCAAATCTATTTTAATCACAATACCACCCTTTCCACCCTTCTTTTTCCTGAGCGAGTGAAGGACTTCCTGCACAATCAGAATATTGTCATTAGTTTGACGGCCAGGAATAAAGCTGCTTTGTGTCGGCGCCACCCACTTCCTCATCAACGGCTTAAGACGGTTGGTGATAGCTTTGGTGATGATCTTGATTCGAACATTGTTGAGGCAAATAGGTCAAAATTGGGCTGGGCTTTCTGGGCTCTTAGTCTTCGGAATCAGGACCACTGTTGACTCCAGCGCCTCCTCATCAATTTCACCTGTCTCAAAAAACTTTACAGCCATGTTATTCAGGTTTTTTCCAATAAAAGACCATAACTTTTGGTAGAAAACTGCATGGAACCCATCCGGCCTGGGGGCCGCGTAAGGTTTCATATCGAAAACAGCTCTGTGAAAGTCGTTGATCTGGAAAGGACGCAGAAGGGTGAGGAGCTCTCCATTAATGATCCGCGGAAAGCAGTTTTTTGGCATCAAATCCCTGTAGATGGATCATCCTGCATATACAGAAGAGCAAAAAAATCCACAATCAGATTCCGAAGAGAGATCGGATCCTCCACCCACTCTCCATTCTGATTCCGGAGGCTGAGAATTATGTTTCTTCTTCTTTGCGGGTTAGCTTGTTGGTGGAAGTAGGATGTGTTCTGCTCCCCCTGCTTCACCCAAGTTTCCTTAGCCCGTTGGAACCAGATGACTTCTTCTTGAGCTAGTAGGTCGTCTAAATCCTTTTCCAGCTTGGCTTGCAGCTTGATCAAACCCGGTGAAGGTGAGGTGGCAATTCGGACTTGCACTCCTTGCAACCTTGCTAGAAGTCTCTTCTTGCGATGCCCAATGATACCAAAGATGATCATGTTCCACTCTTGGAGTTTAAAGGAAATGTCTTTGAGCCCTTGAGCAAGGTCACATCAACATTCTAGTTTTCTGCAAAGAACTCAGAGAAATTGTTATGGAGTAGCCAAGCAGCTTCAAAACGAAAAGGTTTGGCTCCACCACTATTAAAATGAGAAGCAGAATATGATGTCAGGATAGGAAGGTGATCGGAGTGAAGCTTAGGAAGATGTTGGCTAGCATCAATTCGTTGGACTTGGAAGTCGCTGGATCGCCAAGCCAACCAAATGCCTCCACTGCGTCCTTCAGCATCCACCCGAAGAACATCCCCATATCCCAAGCTGCTGCAAACTGTGGTGGCTCTATCTCCACTTATTTGGGGCTCGATGATCAATAGAAAGTCCGGGGAGTAGACTTTAATCAGGAGCCTCATAGCTCGAAGGAAAGCTTTACTACCTGCACCGCACACATTCCAGGATAGGACTTTAAAATTGGGATAATTGGACATAGAATAAGCAACAAAATCGAGGGGAGAAAACTGGGAAAAACACAAAAGAAGCGGAAAGCGAAGGCAACGGAGATCAATTCGGCGAAGTCTCATTCAGGATGGGGGCCTGCTGGCTCGCAATGATCCCTGGAATCCCCGAGATGTCTCGTGACACCGTCTCCTTGTCCATACACTCGTCGTTGTTCCCAATCGCTGGTTGGGTAGCCAGAGTTGCCAAATTTGGATTGTTGGTGAAGAGGGCTTCAATGGCTTGGATAGTGATTGGAAAAGACGGGTTCTTCACATTCCGGCTCAGTTCCCACTTGAGTTCTCGCCTCGCGGTGGAAGGAACTATCACCGACTTCTTGCTCGGCTTGAGGCTTAGACCTCTCTTTTTCTCCTGAGTCAGTGGTTTCCCCTCTGTTTTTTTCCGGTAGTGCTGCCTGATCGACGTTGGGTCATGGTTTTCTTTCCCTGAAAGCTGGAGAGTTGGAACGACCACCACTTGGATATTAGTGTTGTTCGGGCCTAAAATTTGTGTCACGGGCCCAGTAGACTCCGAACCCTGTTTATTCGTTTTATTATTGGTTGTGGGCCTTTCGGTGGGCTGATCGTGCTTGGACGAAGAAGCTTCATTCGGCCCAACCGGGCGCCAAACTTGGTTCGTTGTAGTCTTGTGGGAGGTCTTGCTGGTATTTGTCTCCTTGACCGCTTTCCCTTTCTGACTCGTTGAGATTCCATGTCGCTACTCTGGATTTCTAGCTTCCTTTCCTTTTCCAAATATCGCTCCGCCATTAGCCGTTAAGGTATGCGAGTTTCCTTTTGCGGCTGCCTTGCTTGATGTACACCCTGAATCCGCTTGCCCGCTTCTTTGATTTTTCTGATTTTTCTCTCCCAATGGGGTAACTTTCCCAGCTTGCTTCCGTGATTTCCTTGTTACTTGCATCCAGGGTCCATAGCCGGATTGAGCCACCACTATCTCCATGGTCGATTGAGATCTCTTAGTTAAACAGGATTCCTCCGTGTGCCCGACGCAGCCACATTCGAAGCAAATCAGGGGAAGGTTTTCATACTGCACCGCTTGCCAGAACCCATCAAGGCAGATTCGAGTTGGCACCGGCTTGGACATGTCCAATTCCATCGTAATTCGAGCAATTTTTCCCCTTTCCTGTGCTCTGTGTGATAATCGAGCTTCACTGTGCGGCCAATAAGATTCCCCAAGGCAAACAAAAACTTCCCTGTGATAAAAGTGAACCGGCAGTTCTGGGAGTTGAATCCAAGCAACTACTGATCGGTGAGGTTTCTGCCCCGTGCGGAAAGATGGAGACCACTGGTGGACTACTAAGTAGTGATCCAGGATCACCCACGGACCTTCGGTTAAAGCTGTTAGGTAGTCTTGCTCGTTGTTGAATGTCACTAAGAACGTATCATTGTTGAGATCCATGATGTCTAGATGGCCTGTTAGTCTCCACTTCCATCGTATTTGACTGCACAAGTAGGCGTAGGAGATGGAGCGTCCCAACAGCCCGATGACCGACGTTTTCTTCCATGGGATACACAGCTTGTCTCTGAAACTGTCTGAAATTTGCAGGGATGGTTCTCCCCCGAAAGTGCCCGAAATAAGATCCTGCTCGCCAACGAAGAGCCATTGGTTTGCTGTATCCGACGTCCCCTGACTTTGACCTGTGAGCGCTGACTTGAAATTCAGAGGTAAGGGTGTTGAAGTAATCGCTTTGGCTGAGGGATTGTCTGGGTGAATTGAAGAAGGTTGCAGATCCGGCGGCCGTCCAGTCAAAGACATGTCCGGTGCCGGAAGAGAGAGATCAGGGGGGGGGGGGGGGGTTCGAGAGCATTTTTTGATGGGAATTCTAATATTATATGCACATGACCAGATAGTGTGATTGCTATATATGAAAATAAGGGGGTAAATTAAGAGAACCAACATTGTTTAAAATTCAAATCACCAACACTAAAGTTGACAATCTTACCATCCTGTTTCTCTTTATTTCTTCATCGCTCTCATTGCCTTCATCCATAATGGGCTTCCTGTTAAAACATATGTGGTCAACCAATTGAAAAATAAGTTGCTCTGAATAACCCATCCAAGAAGATAACAGAAGCCAGGGAAAATATTCTCAGCTGCTGACCTCTTATGGAAGAAACCATGAGTAAAAGAGTAGTAGTAGTAATCTCACTGATAACGATGTAATTGCACATGTTTGCGCCCCTAGTTCTTATCCGTTTGAGGAGTATAGTCGTGTGTTTTGGCCTATTTTACGCCGGGTTGTGCTATTTTGTCATATTTCAGGTCCCAGGCGTCAAAGGGAAGGCTAACCACGAGTTTCGGGGCATTCGGAGGTCATTTCGTCAAGCTGGGGCCAAAACACGGGCACACCTAAGGCATTACACGGCCGTGTTCCTATGGCCGTGCTTTTTATGCCGAGAGCTGAGCTGATTACACGGGCAGGGCTGTTTCAAAGCACGGCCGTGTCCAACGTGAAGCACGGCCGTGTTTCTTCCCAATTGCTGGCCGTGTAATTAAGCCTTGGCCGAGACACGGGCGAAGTCAGACAAAGCACGGCCGTGCCCTCGACCGTGCTTTGGCCACTGATGCTTTTAAGCAGATTTTCAGCCACAAGTCAAGGGGATTCGAGTTTTTGAGAGATAGAACGACTTCTAGAGAGAGAAAGTGACGAGCAAGAGTTCCCAAGTGCCCTAGATTGACCTTCAACACCATTGGAGGCCAGCTTGAGCTTGGAGAAGTGCCAATCAACGTCCAGGAGCCGGAATCCGTCCTTCGCAGTATGAATTCCGTGTCTGATTTGCTTTTGCTTTCTTCTCCATAGAGTAGTTCTCCCATTCATCTGGGTATGGAGAACCCTAGATTTGTGTGTTAGGCTTTGATTGTATGAACCCAAGTACTGATTCTATGATTGATTATATTCGATTGAGGTTTGAATGATTGAATGACTTGAATTCTGATCAAATTCCTGTTGTTTCTGCTTTAACCTAGAATGAGAATATTTGCCTAGGTTGATAGAGCATCCTTGATTGAAGGTAGGGAGTTGGTGACTTTAGTCGAGGAGCCAACTCACTATTCTGTACCAGATTTACTCCGGTAGTGGAGGTTTTGTTTGTTAAGGCCTCAATCTGTTTACTCCAGTGGAGGTTAGTCGCCCGCTAGAGACTCAGATTGAGAGGGTCTGAGGACCTTTAGTCGAGACCTCAGGCTATTTAAGAACCTTCCGCAGTATAACTATCACAGAAACTGAACTTGGTAATTGCAATCCGGCTTAACTGCAGTCTAGGGGGAACCATATCCGGGTGACCTCTTTAACCTGAATACAACAGTTTACGTGCTTTGTTAGTTTGATAGTTTAGACTTGCATTCTAGTTTCATTGCTAGATAACAAGAATTCACTGAGTAGTCATCAGATCTAGGACCCGGGTTGACATATAAACCTAACCCGCTATACTACGCTTTAGGAAGTGGTTTCACTTGGCCAATTCCTGGAGTGACAGTAGAGTCGAGTCAAGTTTTTGGCGCCGTTGCCGGGGAACGGCTAGGTTGTTGAAGAAAAGTGATTTCTGTTAATTTAGCCTTTTCTTTTTGCTTTGTTTGCTTTGTCCCACTTGTGCCTTCACGGGTTTCCTTTACTTGAGTGTGTGCAGGTAGTGCATGACCCGTAGCCAGTCGGGAGGTTTACTGCCGTTGAATCCAGAGATTGAACGCACCTGTCGCCAGCTCAGGAGACAACAGCAAGCTAGACTGGCTACGGAAGAGCGCATAGACGGCCACGTGAGCAGTGATTCTGAAGAAGAGCACGGGATGGACGGAGAGTACAATCAACACCAGGGGAATCCTCAGCAGGCCCCCCCGGTGAATCAGGTCCTGGGGAACAACCCCATACCCCAGGATCATGGAGTTCATCATCCACCGCAGCCGGGTCCCACCTTGGAGTACTACTACACTCCGCGGATTGCTGACATCCGCCCGGTCATCCTCTACCCGCCTATTCCAGCAAATAACTTCGAGATCAAGCCATGCTGGATTCAGCTCATCACATCCTCTATCCAGTTCCATGGCTTGAAGGATGAGGAGGCCAGGGTACATCTTTCCCGTTTTCTGCAGCTGACGAACGGGTTCAAGCTGAATGGTGTCCCGGATGATGCAATCCGCCTTCACCTCTTCCCCCATTCTCTGGCAGGGAATGCTAAGAGGTGGTTGGAGACCGAGCCCCCATTGTCCATCACCTCTTGGGACGATCTGGCTGACAAGTTCGTGCACAGGTACTATCCGGCATCGAAGACTACAGAGATACAGCGGGAGATCACTCACTTCCGCCAAGAGCCAGATGAGTCACTTCGTGATGCATGGGAGCGGTACATGGGATATTTCTGGCAGTGTCCCCATCATGGCTTTAGTGATGCATTCACAGTGGGGAACTTCTACAGTGCTCTCTCCACAGATAGCCAGAGGGTGATTGAGTCTCTATGCCTAGGAGGGGATGTTCTCACTAAGTCTCCACCCGAGCTGAACCAGATGATTAATACATTGGCTGCCAGAGATCATTCCTGGGGGCAGAGCAGCAGAGGCAGACAGTCCAGGGACCGTGGTGTGCACGCCATGGAGACCAGATCCGGGCTCGAGCAGCAGGTAGCTGAGCTAGTGCAGACATTGAAGCAGCCCAACAGTCTTATTCCGGGCAGAGGTATGGCTACACCTCCAGTTGCTCAGTGTCAGTGGTGTGAGAGCTCGAGCCACTTAGTAGAAGACTGCCAGGCTATGAGAGAGTCTACTACTCCCCAGGAGCAGTTGGACTTCATCGCCAATGCTCGGCGCCTCGACCCGTACAGCACCACATATAATGAGGGGTGGCGCCAGCATCCCAACTTCTCTTGGGGCAGCAACACCACTAAGCCACCTGGTTTCCCAGCACCAGCAGGTGGCTTTCAGTAGAGGCAGCCCTACCAGGCTCGACAGGGGCCAGTTCCACAGCAGCAGCCATACCAGGCTCGACAGGGTCAAGTTCCACAGCAGCAGCCCTACCAGCCTAGGCAAGGGCAACCCTTCCAGCAGCCCTAGCGCCAATTTGCCGAGCCAGCAGCAGCTCCAGCTCCAGATACTCAGATGACGAAGCTGGAAAATATTCTGGCTTCATTCATGACGAGCACTCAGGCGACTATCACGAGGTTGGACCAGAGTGTAGCTTCACTGGAGGCAGGTCAGAGGAACCAGGGTGCCATTTTGCAGGATCTGCAGACCCAGGTGGGCATCTTGGCCCGCCAGAACACCACCAGGGCACCGGGGACTTTGCCTGCCACCACTGTCCCGAATCCTCGGGATCCTCACCAGCTCCAGGAGCTTGATGCATCACTACCAGGAGTGGCAAGACCACATCAGCTGCTCCTGCCCAGCCCAGTCGAGATGATCCACTACCTGCTTCAACACTTCCAGCTGATACTGCAGACGTGGGGGAAGACACAACAACGCCTGCTCCCAAGCCACAGCCAGTGGTTAAGGAGCATGTACCTCAGCTTCCTTTCCCCACTCGCCTGCATAAAGACAGGCTGGAGACTGAGTTTGCCAAGTTCATGGCAATGTTGAAGCAGGTCAACATCAGCATGCCGTTCGTGGAGGCACTGTTGAAGATGCCCAAGTATGCCAAGTTCATGAAGGACCTCCTCACCAACAAGAAGAAACTTGGGGATCTTTCGACAGTTATGCTGAGCGAGGAGTGTTCTGCCATCCTGCAGAACAAGCTGCCCGAGAAGCGAAAAGACCCAGGGAGTTTCACTATCCCTCTTGTTATTGGCAGCATGCATGTAGGAAAGTCCTTGGCGGACCTAGGCGCTAGCATAAATGTCATGCCTTATAAATTGTTTAAGAAGCTAGGCCTAGGTGAACCTAGAACTACTAGGATGAGCATTCAGTTAGCTGATCGTTCTATCGTGCATCCTAGGGGTATCATTGAGGACTTGCTTGTTAATGTGGGTGCATTCACATATCCTGTTGACTTTGTTATTTTGGATATAAATGAGGATGTGGATGTATCTTTGATTTTAGGTAGACCGTTTCTCGCCACCGCCAAGGCGCTTATTGATGTGCATAGTGGTAAATTGATTCTGCGTGCTAGTGATGAACAGGCTACTTTTTCTGTGTCTGAGAATGGGAAACACCCTCATTTGCATGATGACATAGATTACTGTGATATGCTTGCTGATTATGAGACCGCACTCGCCATCACGAGTGCGGGTACTGACGATGTTCTTGAGCGTTGTATTTTGCTAGGTGAGCAGGCATCGCAGGAGCCGCAGCTGGCAGAGCAGTTGGCCGAGTTGGAGAGTGGCCCCTTCTTGGAGGGCGACAGGCTGTTTAAACCGATCTCATCCTCCACCCGCATTGCTACTTCCTTGGAGGAACCACCAGAGCTGGAGCTTAAGCCGCTCCCTCCTCATTTGGAGTATGCATTTCTCCGGGAGGGGAATAAGCTGCCAGTCATCATCAGCTCGACCCTCACACCCGAGCAGAAGACCAGACTGGTGGCCTTGCTGAAGCGGTACGAGCGAGCCCTCGCATGGAAGATCACAGACATCCGAGGGATCAGCCCTTCTTTCTGCTCCCACCGGATACTGATGGAGGATGAGATGCGGCCAGTGAGACAGTCGCAGAGGAGACTGACACCGAACCTGGAGGCTGTGGTTCGGGCAGAGATCGTGAAGCTGTTGGACGCGGGGATCATCTTCGCTATTTCCGACAGCGAGTGGGTCAGTCCCACCCAGGTGGTACCCAAAAAGGGT